CTCAAGCCCCAGGAAGGCACTGCAGGGAAGAGAATCAGGCTTGGGCTGTCACCCCTCTCAGCTCTGTGGGTAACCTGTCCCTCCAGAGCAGAGGGATCTGTAGGCAGCTCTGGGTTTTTCAGATGTGAGATCAATCTGGGAAGATGGTGTTGAGTAGATGAATGGCCTCTGACAACCAGACCTTTTAACAATTAAAAATAAGGTTTATCCAAGTGTACCATGCAAACTCCTAATCAGTTTTTCAATGTCTTCACCATTTATGACCTGTCCTTTCCATAATAGATTCATATCAGTGTTCCTTGTATTTGCAAAGAATTAACTCCTACTATATAGCTATTTTGAATTGCATATTATGATCTCTTTAAAAGCAGTTTTTACAGCTGGGCACCATGGCTTTATAATCCCAGCACTTTGGGAGGCAGAGATAGAGGGATCACTTGAGCATTGCTTGAGCCCAGGAGTTTGAGACAAGCCTGGGCAACATAGTAAGTAAGAACCCAACTCTACAAAATTTAAACAATTATCCTGTGTGGTGGCATTCTTCTGTAGTCCTAGCTACTGGGAGGCTGAGGTGGGAGGATTGCTTAAACCCAAGAGTTGGATGCTACGATGAGCTGCAGTGATGCCACTGCACTCCAGCTGGGTGATAAGCAAGATCTCATCTCTTTAAAAAAAATCAGTTTTTACATTTAAGAACTACCTGTGAATAAATCATAATTACAAAATGGATGTATCTGAGATGGTGCTTCCCTTTGCTAAGCTAGAAGTTATCAGGATTATGATGGAAGAATGTTCCAGGTGTGAAGAAACTTGGCAACAAGGGGTAATGCCAGCTGGCAACCCATCTGCTGCCCCTAACGCTGACTGTATGTGGCACCCTCAGCGTGAAGGAGAGTCAGACACACCTGGGCAGCTTCTGAGCCACTGTGGGCTCCCTGTGGCCTTATGTCACCGGTGCAGTTGTATCAAACGTACATGTGAACTAACCCTTAGATGCTCTGTCAGTGGCGCTTGAGGGATGTGGACCTCTGTGTGTTCCAGAAGGCCCACACGTGATTCACAGGCCAAATGAGGAACGCTGGTCTAAGCCGTGGTCTGTGTGAGAATTCGGACACTATTTGCCAGTATCTCTGTGTCACATCTCCTGATTATGCTACCGTGGACCAAAGGAAGCACAATATAATAATTAAACATCTCACTTTGCAGGCTCTTAAAGACTTGACTGTTTTGTTCAGCTCCAAACACTCATCTCATGGTGGCCAGTACACGGTTAGGGTCTGCGCACAGTGGCCAGCTAAGGCTGGGGTGTCAGGGAGTGTGCACTGCACACAGAGGGACATGGGGACCAGAGTGTGTATTGAGTTGACTTGGGGCAGCTGACTATTATGGACATATTAAATAATGTTAAATGTTTTTAGGTTAAAATACAAATGAAATCTTATTAAATAATAATCAAAAGAAACAGCACTTATGTGGCAAGCATGTACCATTTCGGGAAATTTACGTATGTATTAGCTCATGTAATCCATGCAACAGCAACCCTGTGAGGGGGTACTATTGTTACCCATGATTTTTACAAGAGGATGCACAAATAAGTTGGAAAACAAGCCCAAGTTCACATACTTGGTTAAGGAGTAGCTCTAAATTTAAACCCAGGTACTTTATTTATTTATTTATTTATTTTGGCACAGAGTCTTATTTTATTTTATTGTTTTTATTTTGGCATATTATGGGGGTACAGATTTTAAGGTTTCAATAAATGCCCTTTCCCTCCCCCCAAGTCTGAGTCTCCAGCATGACCATCACCCAGATGTGTGGTATATGTATACATGGAGTACTATTCAGCTCTAAGAAACAATGGTGATATAGCACATCTTATATTTTCCTGGCTAGAGCTGGAACCCATACTACTAAGTGAAGTATCCCAAGAATGGAAAAACAAGCACCACATATACTCACCAGCAAACTGGTATTAACTGAGCAGCACCTAAGTGGACACATAGGTGCTACAGTAATAGGGTATTGGGCAGGTGGGAGGGGGGCGGGTATATACAAACCCAGGCACTTTAAAATTTAAAAGAGTCCCTTGCGTTTAACCCTCACACCAAACTACTTTTAATATCTAAATTGGAATTGATGTCGAATTTGCCAATGAACTAATCATTTAAAGATATTTTCAAGGTTTATTTTAAATAATAGCAAGCAGACAAGTGGATGCCAATACCTACGTTAAAGGAATTATATACCGCCACCGAATTAAAAGCCAAACCTCTATTTCTACTCAGCGACTATTCAAACAATGTGAATGAAATGCCCACATAAGGAGGCGAACCAGCAACACGGCCCCGTACCCACAGAGCTTACAGTTGCTGTCTAGAGAGCACAGGCTGGTAGCCCTGCAGCACAGGCCTCAGGGAGCTCTCCTGGAGTTCCTTGGCTCCAGAGATGTAAAGTTTCCTGGGCTCCTGGTCAGGAGAAACCCACCCAACCCATTCAAGTTTGTGTTTTCATATCTGAGCCCATGAAAATAGCTAACCTCAAAATCTCTGCTAACCTACAGCTAAGTGTTGCTTCCAGTCTCCCTGAAACCCTTAGCTGATGTCATTCATTCATTCTGATGGCTGGATTCCCCCGCTAGCTCTGAGAAGGCCCCTGACTCAGGGGCCGCCTTCCGACCAGACAGATCAGTTTATGGTCCTCCAAGGTTATGCGTGATGCTTGTGTTTGGGGAAAATGGAGATGCACATTAAGAAGAAACATTACTTTGTGATCCAGGCAGGAGAGCATACATAATCTCCTCCAGAGCCTGTGAAAGACTTCATTTTACACATCAAATTGTGTGGAATTGCCCTGGACTGAACTGAATGTGGTTTTTGAGAATAACCAGCCTCGGAACAAGCTGCTCGCTTGCTGAGCCCCAGTTAGGGCCTCAGAACGACAAAGAATAAACTTAAGCAAATGTAATCTGTGTAAAGCGGAGGGCACGGTGCACAATCTTGTTGACACAGTGCCTGTATGGCGCTGATCCTAAACATTGCAACAGCTTGCAATAGGGACAGAGAGTAGGCATGAAAAAAATATGAGACAGAAGAGCATGGAATGGTATAGAAAGATTTTAAATTAAGAGATTAATTTTGTAATTGTTTAGAAGGTCTTTTCTATTTTTCTGTGCATCATAAAACACTCTTTTCACAGTCTGGCATGAAAACCTCGTGCCTGGCACATATGGGAAAGTAACCAAATTTTTTAAAACAGTGAATTTTGAGCCATTTAACAATTTACCTAATCTGAAAATTTGACCAAAACGCATCATTTTAGGACCTTGTAAGCTCTTTGAAGTACGTAAAGCTCTGCAAAATAGGAGTTGGGAATGTAAGAAGAGAGACAGTGAGATTTACTCTGCACGGTTTGAAATGCCCTGCTTTTCAAGCATAATGAGTAAATCACATATAAAAAATTTAGAAGAAAGGTCTTCTGCACATTATGGGGAAATTGTTGGCATCTCATGATGGGTCATCTTACTCTTGTTATTAAATGACAGCAATCATTAAAATGCCAAACATATTTTGACAGAATTCACTTTATAAAATGTCAGCAAGTCTGTGTTTTTATTAGTTTGCTCCAAATCAATTTAGAAATTTCAATAGAATGCTTGTAAGTATTCCCCAAGCAATGTCCATTCCTGACTTTCTGCACCAAAAAAATATTACAAATTAATCAGATTTTCAGATTTCTGCATAATGGCTTTGCACGTTTATTACTTAATCCTATTATAAAATGCTGTTATGATTGACACATCTCGGTGGAGATAGAAGTCAATTGAATAATATGTAGCAGTCAATTTTATTTGTAGCTTAATGCGCTGAAGTATTTTTTCCACATTTCCATTATTTATAAGTCTGTCCCTTTGGAGAATATATAGAAGAATTTGTTTTAAATGAGCCAATAATACCTTCTTTAAAATTTATAAGTGTGACAGAATCATCTTTTTTTCTTGGTTGTCCATGGCATGCCAGTAAACAGGGTTTGAATTGTCTTCTTACTTGTTATTCATAGGACAGACATCAGGAAAGAGGATCTTGTTAAGGTTTGCTTGGAATTAAATTCCAACCACTCCATTAGAAAACACCAAGAAAACAAAAGCTACCAACTAGAAACCCTCAAAAATTGCCACTGGTTTTGTTTGTTTGTTTGTTATTTATGTATTTATTGTTTCTGCCACTATCTTACCTGCTATGATTTGTCCTGAAATAAAGCACATAAGCCCACACAGAGAAACTCTAATGTTAAAAGGGTTTGAAAGATTTGGTGTTTGGGTGAAATTTCATTTTTCCTGCTTTGGTGTCCACCAGGATTCTAGCAAAGGTAGTAAATCATGTTCTGTGCTTGGGCTTCCTACTATTTCAGTTAGCACTCAGGAAACTTGCTTAGGGAGATCCATATTCTTTGGAGGACATTGTGTAAGGTGACATTGAAAAAAAAGGCTTTGTTTTTAAGGAAAGCACATTCACAATTAATCATAAGATTCTGTGTCCAAAGGATGTATGGAGAAAGGGCTGAGGGTATGAAGGAGGTGGGGGAAGCTATATTAAGGGACAACGTAGATGGACTTGGTCATGTCTGAGATCACACTTTCTTTGACTTCGGGAAATTAGATTAGCTGCTGCTCACCTGTGCATAAAGTTCACGGTTTCCCACCCATAGGCCGTTCTGGCATAGTCTACGCAAACTGATGTCCAATGCAAGTCTATTAGTGCAACTGATGATCATGCTACTTTTCCTGCTGTTGTAGCCTTCTATCTCAACGACTTGGATCATCCTCGGTGTCCCTTGGCATCATTTATACAGTTGATAAGTGATGCAAGCACTGTAGCTATTGATAAACCACTCTGCCGTATCATCTGTGCCTTAATGTTATGTGACATCACGGGAAAATGGGGTCGTGTGCAGTTCCCGGGCTGGATCTCACATTAAGGGAGCAATTCTCTTTTGAATTCCAGGGGCCAGAGGAAACCCGGCACTCTCAGACCCAGGCACTCCTGACCAACACCAGGCCAGTCAGACACACCCCCCATTTCCAGTTGGGCCACAGGTCAGTATCTCTCAACTGCTTTCCTTTGGGCTGCATTTGGGATGGTTGAACCATATAAATAACCAAATAAATAATAATGAGTTAAATCTAATTAACTCCAACAGAGAAAAGACGATGATAAATTTTTGTAGGAAAAACTGTATGACTACATTATTTATTAAATACCATCAAGAAAATATGTATTTGCAAAACTCTTCTCTCTTCTTAAAGGCTTTAATCATCTGTAAACAAAATTATTTTTCTTAAAACCCACTACAACTGTGCCGTTGGTTACTATGTAGTTTTCTGGAAAGTGAAACTTTAATGACTTGAGTGTGAAGAAAATTAAGTTATTTCAACCTTACTATAGCCATTTTTGAAATACAAGATGTGATTTAATATAAAAAAGTTAATGCAATTTTAATGCAAGTTCAGCTTATTGGGTTTGACAATACTGTACATCACACATAGCTCCTGCATTAATAAAGAAATACATTCATTATTTTTTAAAGTCCAATATTTGTTTTTTGCAGCCTGGTGTGGGTTATATGGAGATGTAGAACACAATTATAAAAGGCTGGGTGTTTTTTTCTTTTTCTTTTTTTTTTTTTACCCCTGTCTGTTAGTATGAAGCTTTCAGAGTTCATCCTGCTTTTATGGAAAGAGAAGCTGATATTCAGGCTTTTCTCTTCCTTTTGTTGTCATTATTGCTGCTGGAAATTAATCACTTCCAGCACATTGAGGGCTCACCCAGGTTCAGAGCTGGGGCTGCTCTTGACGCTCTTATTCCAGTCTCCATCAAGTCTCCTCTGGCCTCAGATCCCATGGTCCATCCCAGAGCACGGATAACTGTGCCCGTGCACACAACCCTGGGGAGCTGGCTGCTGGCTTATGGGAGCCTAGAGAGAGTTTGCTCAGGAATCTCAGGAACAGGCTTCTTTGTGTCATACTCTTTATAATTTTACACTTGTGATGTTGAGTGTGTGTGTGTGTGTGTGTGTGTGTGTCAGGGTGTGTTTGTGTGTCTGCATGTGTGGCGTGTGCATGCGCCTGTGCACACCGGGGCAATATGCTCACGCCTTCCAGTTGGGTAAGTCGCATGACAGACCCGGGCTGTGAGGAGACTGGAGAATGCATGCCCTGCTTTGAGCCCATAAATCCAATTTTAACAATGCTACAGGCCAAAACCCCCAAATCTGTGACCCGTGTGGCCTGAGGACTGCTCATTTGCGTCTCCTCTCACTATAATGTTACTATTGGCAGGGACATCACACCAGGAGTCTGAGGGCCAGCTTATAATTTTGCACTTATTCCCAAGTATGTTTATTTTGCTTTTTAGAGTAACTTCATATCTTTTAAATAGGGAAGTTACTTGGTGTGAATTTAGTAAAATGTACAAATGCATTAGGAGCCAGGCCTCTGAGGTCTAGAGCAGCAGTTCTAAAACTAGGCTGTGAGGAGTTCTAGGGCATCTTCAGAGTCCCCTGGAAGGAGCCTGGAGGGGACACTGTAGGGATTGGCCAAAGAGGGAGCTCAGGCCTCTCCACCCCTCCCCTCACTCTTTAAATAAAGCAGCCCCACTTCTCTAAGTCTGTTCCTTGTATTGGAGGGGTGACAAGGCAGGGGTAAAACAGGGGCTCTGGGGAACCCTGCCCCTGGACTTGAACTTGGGTTCAAGTCCCCCTAAACCCCAACTAGATATGGAACTTGGGTGAGTTACTAAGCTGTCTGCACCTCATTGGTATAATAACTACAGCATTAGAATGGTGCCTGGCTGTCAGGTATCGGGTACGATGCTAATATTTAATTACTTTTTCCTTTGTAGAATCATGCCACGTTAAAAAATAAAAGTTGAAACCCCCAGATAAGAGTTTTGCATTTGTTCTTCTAGATGAAAATGGATATGGATTATTATGTTCTACACACCTCCCCTGCAGGGTAGCTAGAAAAGTCCTAGATCAAGGACTCTAAAATCAAATGCCTCTTGCAGTCATCTGGCCTGTCCAAGAGCAGGAATCCTTCCTACTTCGGCCTGGTAGGGAACTCACCCCACACTCACACAAATGAGCGCCAGGCGGCTGCCTTTCTATGTCAGGGAGTTGCTACTGTATCCACAGTGGACATAAGTGTATGTTTTTGTAATACCATTTTAACTGGGCAAAGAATGTTAGAATAATAACAAAGGAACTTGTAAAAATATTTAAAATATTATCCATATCAAATATTCTTATGTTTTATATTCCATTTTAGATCTTGTCATTGTACATATATAATTTTACCATTTTAATAACCATTCCAGTTTACTTCCTAATTATCCAGTTTATTTTCTTATGTATTCTCATATTACAAGCATTTTCTGTTTTTCTAAAGAGGTGTCATAAATGATCCATTTCCATGGCTGTGTAATATCTCATAGTTTGTTATAGTACTGTAACAAACTATTTTTCAACATTTATGCATTTTGAAACATAATGTATGTTTTCATACATTTATCTTTTTGCCTTTTAAATTGTATCTTCAATCCATATCCTAGGAGTATATTCTGAGTTAAAAGGGGATGAATATTTTTGTAGCTCTTAAGGGTTATGCCAGCAGATATGTCTTCTAGCCATAGATCTGCATAATGGCATCAATACAGACTTCCTAGCATCGAGTACATTTTTTACATTATTTTTGTTAATTTAATAGTTGAAAGTAGTATTTCATTGTTCTTTTTGAACCAAAAATAATCCCACTGATCCCAATGAGTTCTTTCTGGAACAACACAGAATAAATTAGCTGAGACCTTCAAATATACAAGGATAGGACCAAATGGAAATTCATTGGAAGAATAATATGTAAGTGTAAGGTATTACTTGTAAAGGTGTTTGAGCTCCTCAGAGGAAGTCCAATCTAAATGAAATTTTCCAAAGAAATAAATGACATGTGATTTCCATTTTTTTCCCCACCAATATTTTATTCTGGAATACAGAGGTTTTGTTTTTTTTTTAATGCTACTTTTTCAGGAACTTTCTGACCCTACTTAAATGGAAGGAAGATGCTTTTAAAGCCCATGCCTTGGTTCCACTGGAAAGTGAGCTGGGTTTATCTGTTTCGTTGCAGCCCCTTCTGACGGCACAGCAGTTAGCCTCTGCTGTGGCCGGCGTGATGCCGGGAGGCCCCCCAGCCCTCAACCAGCCGATCCTCATCCCCTTCAACATGGCCGGACAGCTAGGGGGTCAGCAAGGACTGGTCCTCACACTGCCTACAGCGAATCTCACCAACATCCAAGGGCTGGTAGCAGCAGCTGCAGCTGGAGGCATTATGACTCTGCCATTGCAAAATCTACAAGGTAATCCATTGTGTCCGTGTGCCATGTAGGGCTCTACCCACTGGCCAGTGTGCTCTGAAGAAAAGTCCCCCGAATGGTCAATGCGGTTCAGAGTTGCTGCCATCAGAAAGGATAAGGGGGCCGGGCACGGTGGCTCATGCCTGTAATCCTAGCACTCTGGGAGGCCGAGGCGGGCAGATTGCTCGAGGTCAGGAGTTCGAAAACAGCCTGAGCGAGAGCGAGACCCCGTCTCTACTATTAATAGAAAGAAATTAATTGGCCAACTAATATATAGAGAAAAAATTAGCTGGACATGGTGGCGCATGCCTGTAGTCCCAGCTACTCTGAAGGCTGAGGCAGAAGGATTGCTTGAGCCCAGGAGTTTGAGGTTGCTGTGAGCTAGGCTGATGCCATGGCAGTCACTCTAGCCTGGGCAACAAAGGGAGACTCTGTCTCAAAAAAAAAAAAAAGAAAGAAAGAAAGAAAGGGTAAGGAAGGCTTCTGTAGTAAGCAAAGTTTCCAGTTGCCCATGAATCCTGAGGTTGCTCCAGCCACAGAAGTTATCAATCCTCATTTCCTAACATTGATATTGAAAACTTTCAGATCTTCTGGAAGCATTTATGAGCAATCATTGCATGACACATCAAACACTTAAAAGCAAAATCACTGTTTGATTTTATTATTTGAAGACCTGAGTTATAATTTCACCAGTTTTTTAGTTTAGCCACGTGTAAAGAAAGATTAGACATTACTTGCCTGAGTGTGAAGTGGCTGGAACACCTCACATACAAGACATCATTAGGAATAATTAATCAATGATGATTTTACTTACTAAGTATATTATAGTTATCATTATTTAATAAAAATTATATTATTTGAGCTCATGTTTTGTAACGAGAAAAATAGACTTGTATAGGCACATGGGCATATAACATGAATTGGACTCTAATTTTACTCAGGAAGGTTATTTGTCTTGATATTATGCAGGTTTTGACTTTTCTTTAAAAGATTTGACTGACAGATTGATTTACAAAAGATTCTGTCGGAGGAAGAATTATTGTGGTGGAAAACAGCCTGAATATAAATAGGGTGCCTAGTAAAGAGAAAATGAATTTATTTTGGACTAGTCAAAGATGTTTGTTTTCTTCATTTATGTAAATGTTAACAATTACATTTTTTTGCAGAATGTGGGCTCAGCTGAGTAAGTTATCAGAATAACAATTTAAAATACTTTTTCAGTTGGTTAAATGTCAGGGCTCCATATAATTTATTTAATTGGTCGGAGCATCAGTCCGCAGACTAAGAAACAAACCAAGTAAGAACTGGTTAACTCTTGACCTGAACTTCTTTCTGCGCTGTATGTTCTACCATCCCACCCATTGTTGCCACTTCTTGACTTTCATTTTAATGTTTAAAACAAAGTCTCTCTTGTACCATTAAATTGTGCCAAGAAACCTGCCGTTCATAAATCATGCATGTCCAGGATACGCTAATGCACAAACTTTGCTTGTTTCAAATTTGAGAGTGCCTGGGAAGCCAGGATCTCAAGATTAAGCAAATAAAACAGAATACACAAGGTGAAAGCAGAAGCAACAAAGTGTAGGGAGAGGCTTTTTAATGTAGGTGGATGATGAAATCTTAATGAAGAAATGGGCATTATCAAAATGCAACCTTCCATTTGGAACATTTGCGCTTATGGGAATATTGAATATTATAAATAAACATAAGCTTGCAGAGCTCCTAGGCCACAAATTAATCCTGCTTGGTTAAGATGGATGCCAAAGTCAGAGTCAAAAAATATCACGCTTGTTATACTTTCATAATGGTTTAGTATTCTTTGGATTTTAGTACTTGCTATATTAAGGTGCTAAAAGTTGGTGACTGGTCCAATGTGGAATTCTTCCACTAAAATTTTTTCTTTTTGTTTTCTGTAAATGTCAAATTTACATGCTAGTTTAAAGTTTGGTATTTGGTTCTTCCTGGTGCCTTTGGTTTCAGAAAATGAATCCCAGGGTTTTGTGGTCTAAGTAAAGGCAACAAAAGCGCCAGCTCTTATTCTACCTTGGTGTTTCTGACACAATCTTCTCTTCATCATTATCTCCCTCCCTCTTTGTCTTCATCTTTGAAATTCCATGATGTTGGAGGGGAGGTGACAAGGTCATTAAAATAAAACACCTCCCAGCTGCAAGCCAGCTGGTTACAGGAAAGCTTCCTAATGAGTTCTAACATCAAGCCCCTCCCCTAACCTTTGTCTCTAATATTGTTATGAATGAGTCCCAATCCTGATCACTGTCAGGATCCAAGAAAGATCCACCTTCTGGTTTCCTTGGGCTTTTCTGTCTCTTTCACATCTTCCCACATGATTTCTTCACCAACTAGACCTTACTAGTCTTAAAAGTAAAGTGACCAACCATCCTGGTTTGCTGGAGACTGGAAGGTTTCCCAGGACACGGGACTTTCAGTGTTAAAATGTGGAAAGTCCCAGGCAAACCTGAAATAGCTGGCCACCCTGCAAGAAGTCCAAGGGCAATGAGGATGGTAACCAGGGAAGCCTCGTATCTCCAAGGTGCCCGAGATCAATGTCTACCACCTGAAAGGCAAAGCCAGCAGTCACCTTGTGATTCATCTATCAGCAGCCAACCCAAGGCTGGTCTTGCCACCTTTAGGCGACCTACTTCAGTCTTTTGCAATCCCAAGGCAGCATCTATGGATTGTGTAGCTTCCCAGGTTTTATTGCAGAAGGTGTTGGGACTCTTGTGGCGGTGGGTGGGTGGCTGGCAGGCTGGAAGTTCATTCGCAGGGGTCCTGGCTGACTTTGAGACTGAGCCAGTCCTCAAGATGTCTTCAGGTCTCATCTTCTCTTGAGGGTGGCAGTCTTTTAACATGACTGATAAGTCTGCCCACCTATAACAGACACCTCACCTTTCCCAGTGATTTTATAAAAGAGATTTGTTTGGTCCATGTGAGGGGGAGGGATTTAAGCGTTACACACCTAGTCTGAAGGAGGGCTTGTTTCCCTGTGACATGCTTGGTCCTGGACTGTCCTCCTTTTTTCCTCACTGAGAAATGTTTAGCTTTTATTCATAGAAACAACTGGAGTTTTCTCCAGCCTTCTCCTACCCAGCCCTTCACCCTGTCTGTTCTTCCAGATCAAAAGCTACAAATTTGCTAAGAAGAAGGGGAAAAAAAGAGTTGCTGACACCAGTTTCTTAATGGTTTGAAATTGAGGGATAAGTTTTCAAATATTTTCCTTTTTACTGAAGTGATTGAGAGCCGTTCATTTATACCCCCTATCAAGTAACACGGAATAGCTCTCAGCACTTCGGAGGCCATGATTCACACATGTATTTTAATGAGCTCTCACGACACGATGTCACACTGAGAGCTGCTCTTCTCCGCTCAGACAGCGGGGTTGGATCACCATCTCCCCCTCAAAACACAGTCCCCAGATGGGCAGCATCAGCATCTCTCGGGAACTTACTGGAAATACGGCAGCTCAGGCTCCAGCCCCGCCCCGCTGAACAGAACCTGCATTTTGAGAAGAATCCCAGGCGATTCCTACGCACATTAAAGTTTAACAGATGCTGGCCTAGAGAGATTTTACAACATCCATTTGGCAACGCCCTCTGTTTTAGTCTGTTCAGGCTGCCATAACAAAGATATTCTAGTTCGGGTGGCTTATAAACAAGAGATTTTATTTCTGACAGTTCTGGAGGCTGGGAAGGCTAAGGCCGAGTCAGATTCAGTTCTGGCGAGGGCCCACCTCCCAGTTCACAGAGGACCCCCCCCTCCAAGCCCTCGCATGGCAGAAGGGACAGGAGGGAGGAGGGAGCTCTCTGGGGTCCCTCTTAGAAAGGCGCTAATCCCATCATGAAGGCCCCACCCTCGTGACCTAATCAACCCCAAAGGCCCCACCGCCTAATGCCATCGCCTCGGGGGTTAGCATTTCAACGTATGAATTTGGGTGGGCACATTCGGGCCACAGTACGCCCTATATCGCCAGGAGGCTGCTCCACCAGGTCCTGAGACTCTCGTGGTGATGGCGGACCCAGGTGAAGGTGGTGACGCCCTCGTTAGCTCTCCTGGTGATGGTCACTGCCCCAGGCCTCTGGGTGAGGATGATGACTGAAAGGAACTTATGTGGGGACATTCTTACTTCTGTTAGGACATTTGTGTCCCCAAGACCAAGAGCAGCTCTCTTGTGTAACGGAAGCATTCTTGATGCTCCGAGATATTGCGCAGTGAAACTTTGCCCCGCTGATGAAGACCACACCGCCCTGCAGAAGGCCTGTCTGCTTGGTGTGAAGGTCGCTGTCTCTTGCTCCTCCATCTTTCCTTGCAAGAAAGAGGTTCGCTCCTGTCTTGTCAATGATGGGGTATTACTGTGAGGAGATACACAGGAGTGAGGAGTTAGAAATCTCGCAGGCTCCTAGGAGCAGCCCTATAGCCCAGCCTCGTTCCAACCTGGAATGAGATTTGGGTGTTAGAGGATCCAGCAAACCACTAAGCTGCATCATCCTGTCATGTGCGGCAGGCTGGTGTCCGTCCCCCATGCCTAGAATGACTAATACCTGTCTCCTGTCTTCTGCTCTCTCCAGGACATTTCTCTATTCCATTGGTTGGGTTTTGGCTAACCCATAATTTTGGTTCGCTCGTGTTCCATTTTGTCTCCTCTGAACACGGGCTTCTTCCCCACTTGTGTACCTACCAGGAACTCTCCGTTTCTATCTCCATCACCTTCATCTTTATCCTTACCTCCATGTCTCTCTAAGATTCAGACTATCCAAGAGAGCAGTTAGTTACCTGTTGGGCTGAGCCTTTTTACTTTAGGCGACTTCATAGGTCACCGGCCAGACTGGAGACTGACTGCCCCCACACTGACGTGTACATTCCCTTCCTGTTGGCTATAATGTGGGTAGGAAGGGGGCAGCTGGCACGGTGCGGAATGGAACATGGGCAAGCACGTCTAAGAAACATGCTGGGCCTCTCTCAGCAGGAGGGGCAGTGGGTGTGGTGGGCTG